CCCCAAAACCCCAAAACCCCAAAACCCCAAAACCCCAAAACCCCAAAACCCCAGACCAATATCCCAAGATTGATAATTGAGTAAGTAAGTTTAGTAGAATTGTAGAAATCAAGGAAATCAAAGAATTATTCCTTGAAAATTATCACCACTGGAGGTGTTCCGTTAAGAATCTTGCCCTCCTTATCGTCTGGATCACTGAAAGTCACAGTTACTTCGAGTTCAGTCTGACCTTCAGAAAGGTTAAATAGATCGTGGAAGGGCTTTTCTGTTTTACCAGAGGGAACCTTACTGTCCAATGCATGAATATAAACTGGAAGTCCGTTGACAATAATATCCATTGCATTCAATCCATACTTTTTCAGCAACTTCTTGATCAGAGCCTTGAGGTTGGCTTTCTTCGGCAAATGCACTTTCCAGGTATCCCAGATATTTAGTTCTAGGCCTTCCTTGATCTTCACTTTTTCAGGTGGTCCTGGCTCGAATGCCATCAAAGAAGGAACGGCGAGGTTGAGATTGTTATTCCTCATATCTTCGAGCTTGCATTGCTTAAGAATCTTGACTATTTCCAGAGTCTGAAGTCCTGCAATAGCAGCTGTCGTGGTTGCCAAAGCTGGGATGATTCTTCCTGCCTTCAGCTTGGTAGTCAGCCAGTCCATATGATCGAGGCTGTAGTTCGTAGCTCTGCAGTTGGCCAGTGCATAAATAAAGTCAACATGGTAGTTCTGGTCATCATCCTTCTCGAACTCTTGAGGAGCAGTGAGTATGGTCTTCAAAGCATCAGCATGATCTTTGTTGCTCTGATAAGCTTCTCTGATTGGTCGAATGGCATAATCCAGAATTTCTTCATAATCTTCACCTGTGTCGATAGTCTCTTCTATGTCTTCCTCTTCTTGCTTTGATTCCTCTTGGTCTTCTTTGGACTCGTCAACCTCTGCTCTCATTTGTTCAACTTTGGAATGATCGATGTTAAATGCAGGCACTTCGTCATCAAACTCTACAGCTTGCATTGCCATTTTCATGATGGATTCGAGTTCTCTGGGAGCCTTGAATGGAATCTCAATGTTGAATACAGTGGCTCTCAAACAAGCAGCCGCAGCAATAAGCCTAGCATGCAGTTCATCCTCAGGGCTAAACTTTAATACCTCTGGCGCTCTCTTTGGCAAGGACCAGAAAGGCTTTCCTTCCTTAGTCTTGTGATCCAGAGGGTAAGCATGCAATAACTGCTTAATGTCAATAACGAAGTACTGGTTGAACTTGAGTCTGGCCCATCTCAGACAAGCCTTGAAGTCTGTTGGTCTGTCTTCGATCAGAGAGAGTGCCTCTTTAAGAATCTTCATTTGCTCGCTATCCCCAATGTCGATTAGCTGTTCATCTTCAATGATCTTGTTGTAGCTCTTCGCACTTTGGTTGAATAGCTGACTGAACAAGTCTCTGGCCCACTCAACACAATGGAGGGTTTGCTCAGGGAACATCTTCAGTGTGCAGTGAGGAATCTCATTGCCATCTTCAGCATCATTGGTGCTTCCATAACTATCAGTCTGGTCAGGCAAGACTACTTGGATGTGCCCCTTGGGTCCTAGAGTTCCTGAATCAATCATTGGGACTCTTGCTTTGACACATTGCCCATCAATGTATCGTCTTGCTGCAACGTTATCAAGAGCATTGGTCACAATACTCAGAGATTTGTAGAAGTCTTGCGAGTAGGTGTCCTCAGTTCCTTTATGGATCTTGTCAAGTCTTGCAATAATCTTGCCACTCATATCTGGATTCATATGAATTGCAGCAGCTGCAGCTGTGACGGATTTTGGTTTTCTTAAATGTTTCTCTCTAAACAAGAACTGCCTGTTAAGGTTACTAACTTCAATGATATCCGGATCAGTGACCAAAATAGACCCATCATCGCCAGCTCCAGCCCCTAGCATCGCGTAATTCTTCAGCAGCTCACAGCCGATGGCTCCTGCTCCGACCATAAACAGGTTGGCCTCTTTGATCTTCTCGAGCAGGTCGTTGCCAATGCAGGCTCTCAAGCCAGTGTACCTGTCTTCTGGGTTGTTGAAGAACCCTAGCTTCTCCATGTCTCCTTCGAAAGACTCCTTTGAGTGGACATGGAACTCTGGGGTTACCTCAATGGCATCATAGTAGAACAACTGGTCTATAGGCACAAACTTGCTGGTGATTGCTTTGACTGCTTCCTGAGAAGCCACTCCTCCAACGAAGGCACACAATGGGTTGAATGTTCCGTGATTCACAACGCAGTAGGTTGAAGAGAACCTAATAAAGTGTTTGTCTTCAATGCATTCTTTCCAAGTTTCTTCAGGCAGTTTGCTCTTAAGTTTGTCTTCGAAGATGTCTCCAAACTCTTGGAAGCTCTTGTTATTCCAGTCTTTGATGGTGTTGTATTTTCCATCTTTCTTGATCTCGTCCACTGTGTAGTAGCAGTAATGACTGAAGTCGTGATGCTTCATCTTCTCAAAGTCAGACATTAGCAGATTTTGATCGTGAGGAGCCTCTGTCAATCCAATTGCTTCTAATGGCTTAAAGCTCATTTTCAGCTTGGTTTTCAGCTGCTTCGCCAACCCACTATGCTCATATTCAGAGAATCCAGAAGTATCTCCAATCTTGAAGCTAGTTGGAGTTACAGTGACTACCTTATGAATAGTCCCGTTGATAGACTTGCCTTCTTTATCTTTCATTCCATCGACTTTCTCAATCAAAACTTCATCTCCGTCTTCGAAAGAGTGGTTGAATCCTTCTTGAAGAGTCACTAATCCTTCTTTGTCATTAGTGATTTCTTTGATCATAAGTTCTTTAGTTTCTTCTCCATTTTTGTCGATAACTTCGAATTCATCTCCGAAGTCGTTGAAGATCCGACAGAAGACGCCGTTTACGTCGGCCGAGATGAACTTAGTGTTGTGTTCTCTGCAATAATTATCAACAAGGATCTGAGAATCAAGACTGGCTTCAGTCATTATAACGACATCATAGTCCTTAATTCCAGCAGCTTCTTGGGATTCCTCTTTGCTCAGATCGTCTTCTGACACAGAAACCTTGACATAATAGTTGAGTTGCTGAACCTTCTTCTGACAAGCAACAGCTCTGTTGGTGCCCACATCTTTTTCAGAAAGGATGAAGTTACTGCTGAGGTCTCTGAAAGTTGCAGGTTGTGAGTCATTGAGAGTCAGTTCTTTACAACCGGCCAGCACAAGATTCTTAGCAATTTCTGCACCAACTCCTCCAAGTCCAGATATCAAGATTCTGGCGCTTGCTTGCTTAGCAACAGCGTCAATACCCATGGCCCCGATGTACCGACTCCACCGATCTTTGACTGCTTCATCGGCAATGTCGATTCCCTTGGCTTTGGTTTCTTCCTGGTCATCTTCCACATCGACTTCCTGCAGCAACTTGTTGTCCTCTTCGGTTGCCTTGATGCCTCCAGTCTTCTTGTCAGCAGCTATTGGTTTCTTGTTGTCTGTCATAATCGATTCTTCTTTATCTTCAGATGAGGTTATTTCATGCTGAAGAGATGGCTCTTTGAGTCCTTTGAAAGCCTCCTCAAGTTTGGTGATAGCCTCTTCCAGCATTTCTTTATACCTGTTCTCTTCCTTGAACTTGGTGCACCAACTGTGATTATGGCATTCTACTAAGGATGCATAACTTGCTTTGTTCTGTGAAGCAAGTTCGAGCCACTCTTTAACTTCGTCCATGACCTCATCTCTCTTGATGAAGAAGTGCTTTCTGATAGCTTCCTCGAAGCCTTTAGAGGGCTTTGTCATTTGGTCGATCATAGCATATTGGATATTGCAGTATCTGACAATGTTTGAGTAAGCTTCATTCTTTGCTTCTCCTTCTGTGGTTCCGGCTTCATGCTCGTAGCCTGGTTCGTTGTAATATACTTCTTCGCTCATTATAATGGCTTGGATAGACATGAGCACTTGCAGAATAGTTGAGAATTTAGCGTCCCAGTTCTCGGTTGAACTTCCTCTCCAGGTTCCCAGCAAAGAGAGACAGACTTTGCCATCTGCATACAGATTTGGGTTGAACCTCACAGCTCCACTTCCTGTAGTCACCAGCTGGCATTTAGGAGGAGTGCTAGGGTACCTTGGGTCAAAGTACAAGTCAAATTCGAAGCACCCATGTGCATATGGAGTGCTTGAAGCTCCACAAATAACGGCTTTCATAACATCGACTCTGCTCTCATCGACCCTCACAAAGATGGCGTTGGTGTGTTCATTTGGCAGTGAGTTCGACAGATCAGCAACCTCCTGTGCAAGCCTGACAACTTTAGCATTCTCAATTGACGTATCCTGAGAAATATTGTAACTGAAGTAATGGGTGTAGGAGGGAGAACTTGGAGCACTCTTCATATCCATGTATCAAAATCTAAGAGGAGACAACAGCTTCTTGTATTTCTCATTCAGAGGCAGTTTCAAGATATCTTGGATCGAATCCTCATCTGTTTTGAGTGCATCAGAGACTGTTTTCTTGACAATTTCATTGGTCTTACGAATTCTTTCTGCTAATGCCTTGGACCCCTCGGACTCTTCACCACTCTTGCCTTTGCTCTTATTGCTCTTTTCCTTCTCAGTTGACAAGGCTTTGAGGAAAATGTCAGCAAGTCCAGTGAGCTTGTCAAGAAGTGCATGGATTGGCTCAAGTTGCCTTGGCTCATAATCCTTGCCAATATCCATGAGAATAAACCTTAACTCTTTGTTTTCGCACACAGTTGTGATAAAGTCGAGGTAAGAGTTGAACAACTCTGCTTCCTTTGCCATCTCCAAGACTGAGCCAGACCTAAGTGCGTTTTCAAGAACAGGCAGCAGAGCACTCTCAAGTATCATTTGTCTAAGGTTGTACTTCACAGAAAGTTCTTCGCTCTGAATGACTCCTTTGAGAATTCCAATGATGTCTGTGATCTGACTGTTTTTGCTTTCTTTCTTTTTGAGATAAGAGTTGACATTCCATTCTTGCCCAACATCAGTAGTGTAGCCAACACCTTTTCTGTTTTTGTCTCTCTGCTGTTTCTTTTTCTCCGTGACAATGGACTCTTCTTCACTGTCGCTGTTGTATTCGTCAGGCTCAACCTTTACTCTGGAGAACTCACTTGTCAAGATTCCGATCCGTTCGATGAAAGTGATGATAGTGCCGTTCTGAAGACATTTCTCACGGAGTCCATCACTGTTGTCTTCTTCACAGAAAATTCTCTGGACGACATTGTAGGTCTGCTTGACCATCTCCAGCTGTCTGTCGATCCAAGGGTTTTCGAACTCAGGAGCTTTGTAGTTGTACTGGTACTGAGTCTTCTTCTCGATTTCTTTCTGTCTTTTCTTTAAGGCTTCTTTGGTCTCACTCTCTGGCACCCCAGACAAGATATCGAAGAATAAAGTGCTGTTCTTTTTATCAGAAGTCAGCTTTGCAAAGAATCCTGGGAACGAGATGAATGATTCGACTTCTTTCAGGTATTGATGCCAAGCCTCTCTGAGATCCTTTTGTGTCCAATTTCTGACAGCCTTCATGCAAGCTTTGACGAGTTCAGAAGCCCCATCAAACTTTTCAAGAACTGGGTATGTCGCCTGAGCTTTAGATGAGCGGCCTTCAGGTTGTTGTTCAGAACTTGATGGACCTGCTGCTCCTTCAGAAGTAGATGCAGTTCCTGAACATGGCGTAGATCTGCGAGTATATTTGGTGGAATATCCTTCTAAAATGTCTTCAACTTCCTTGGCCTCTTCCTTGCTAAGATCGGCATCAGTGTCAGGTCTGTGATAGCACAGCTCGAAGATGTTGAGGTTGGTTGAGTCTGGATGCTTCTCGAAAATCTCTCCGATTGTGTGTTCCAGGTCAACTTCTCCATTGGTCTTCACACTCAGAGGATGTTTCCTTCCAAAGAGTTCACAAGACAATACCTTTGCTTTCATGTGCTTTGGGATGTGGAATACAACGTTATTTGTGAGCAAGTTGTATAGAGACAGTGACTTGTAGAACGGAATATGGTGGTAAGCATACTTGTCATTATTTAATCCAGACAGAGAAGGATTTGCAAGGTCAACATGCCAGCATTCATACCTTTCCACATTAATATTGTTGTAGAAGGAAGCAAAGCCAGGCTGCTCGATACACTTCATATTGTAGATATTGCCTGCAGTGTGGGAGTAGTTGATACTCCACGAGCAAAGCACAAAGTCGCCTGAAATACTGATGACTCCTCCAAGTTCGTAATCTGTGTAAATGTATCCGAATGGCTTGTTGTTGGTCATCACAAAGTGGTTTTCCATATCACCTTTATAATAGAACACAAAGTTAGATTCATGGTGGGGCAACTCATAATTGTAGTCTGCCTGTAGAGTCGTTAGTGATGGGAATTGGCTTGCACAATAACCTCCAAAGATAGCAGATTCTCCATTGATCGTGCATTTTACCAAGTGCAAAGTGTTGCTCTTTTCAGATATTTTGTCAGCAATCTTCTTAAAATCTCCCTTCTTAGGAGAAGTATCTTCTGAGATTAGAGTCCACTTCTTGTTGAGAAGTTTGTCATAACTGTCATGATTCTCAGAAACATGTTCTTTAAACATTCGCATCAAGCAAGTCTCTTGAGAAGTTGAGAGACATTCAGACTTAAAGAGGAACTTGTTTTCAGCAGAAGAGTCTTCAAGTTTGTGATAGATCGGATGATACACCATTTTATCGCCAACTTTATCTACGACAGACAGAGTAACTGGAATTGTCTCTTCAGCATGCAGCAATGGAACTACAATCGAGTTGAGATAATCAATTCTGTCATTCTCGCATGCGATTGTAAGGTCCTCCTTGAGAGTAGAGGCCATCTCAGTTTCAACTTTATCATATCCAGCAGTTACCTTAGAAAGAAGACTCACCATTATATCATTTAGCTCTTTGTCAGAGTTATTATCTTCAATGGCAGGGCCGAAGTATTTTCTGTACTTGGAGAAAATGGTTGGGCCAACATTCTTTTGCACCAAATAATCCCTGATTGTCTTTTCTTGTGCTCAATAGTACCAGAACCTCGCTTTATGCTTCCATTGACTCAGATCAGCAGTCTCTAATTGCAGGAATGAAGTGAGCAACTCTTCTTTGTCAATAATGATTTTGGATAAATCCTTAGAAGATGCACACAGAGTAGATGCAAGTCTGAGCTTAGAATTCTTCCTTTCTTCAGAGTCATTTTGAGAGTTCAACAGATATTCAATAATGTCTTGGGATGTCATTTCTTTGCCATTATTCAAAGGCCTTCTTAACCCAATCAGAAACAACACGAAAGAGAGAGTGAGCTCTTGGATCTCATCAGGGCTGTCATGACTCTTCTCAATGAGTGTCTCTATTGACTCTATGCTATATTGTATTTGTACTCCTTCAGTCATGTTGTGGAAGAAAGAAGTTATTTCAAGCAAGTCTTTCAACTCTTCAGTGGACTTCACGTTTGAGTCAGCGGCACTTTCTAAAATAAACGACAAGATTTTGCTGATCCTCTTTGAAGATGTTGAAGGATCCTTCTTAATGATTTCTCCAATAAGGTTAATCTGCTTCTGGTTTGAGTCAAGATCGAGGAATCTATCAATGATCCAGTCAGACATCTCGGAGTTCTTTGAACACAATGCTATCAGGATTGGTTTAATAAGGTATTCCTTTTGATTTAGAAGTTTGAGCAGCTTCCCAATAGAGTTCTTGAAGTCGTTAATAACGGCTTTATCCTGTGCAATCACTGAGAAAACATCAGAAACATTTCCAGAGCAACATTTCGATAGAATTTCAAGAGTATTCTCTTTCTGTGTATCAATCAAAGCACTCTTCAAAGGAAGGTAATTATCTGGGTAGATTCCTTGAGCAGAGAAGAACGTGAACCCATATGACATTGTCTTTGTCAGTATTGAAGAAAACATTGAGGATTCCAAGCAACTTATCTCAGGCCTTCTCAGTCTGAAAGTCAAGTATTTAGCTTTATAGACTTCAGCTTTATCCTTGATTTTAGCTTCAATTACAGAAGAAGGATTTTTGTTGTATTTATCAACATCATAGTTCATTGATTTAAAATTAGCAAAGTTCGAACCATAAATGTTTACAGCAGATTGCTTATACCCACCATCGTCAGCAAGTCTGAGAGGGACACACCAGTCAATCTGGTTCTTGGTCATTCCTCCTTCACAGAGCACATTCATTGGTTCATAATGAGTGTCTTGGTCATAGTTGCCCCAGTAGTAGATAAGCCCCATTTCAATATCACTGACTTCCATCACATCAGTAAGTTCAAACTTCATGATGAAGTCACTTCTGGACTGCTTGTCAATTTGCTTCATGACTACTCTGTTACGCTGTCCGTTCTTGTACATGCACCAGTCTTGGGAGGTATTCTCACTTCCAAGAGAAGACTCTATCAGCTTCATAGTTTTACCGGCATCAGTCAGGTTGACTTTCTCAATGCCTTTGCTTTCTGGTTTATTGGCTTTACTGTCGCTTTGGCTAGTCTCTTCAATCTTCTTGGGCTCTTCTTTATCAAACAAGTCCTCCAAGGAGTCATCTTGCTCGGCTTGCTCAGGAGTTGTCTCAGTCACAATGCGTTCTTCTTCAGGATCCTCTTTGCTTTCTTCCTCAGAGGCTTGGCCCTGAACAGGCTGCTTGGAGAAGAGTCTTTGAAGCAAGAAGTCAAAGCCTTTCATCTTCACTAAGAAGTCATTGAACAACTCTTTGTCTTGCAGGCAGACTCCGAACAGTTGGCTGATTATGGAGTTGCTGTTATTCTGTAGAGATGAACAAGTCTCAATGCCTAACTTGTGGCAGTTAGACAAGATCATATTGTCGAACTTAATTACTTCTTTCATAACATTCGGCAGCAAAGCAAGAATGAGGGCTTTGTTTGTGGTCAGGTTTTCTGTGATCAACTTGGTGATTCTTGCAAGTTGATTTGAGCAGGTATCCCCCTTGCTCTTATTGTTTGGGTTATTAAGAAGTAACCAAATTACTAGTTTCTCCAAGATAGCTGATTTATTTTCAGTAGAAATGTCATCAAATTCATTCATGTAAAGATCATAGTATTTCTTTCCTTTCAACTCAGAGTTGTAGACAAGGTATGCTAGGTGAACCCCCATCTTAATTCTTGCCAAGATAGCATAATCAGCTCCTGCCATATGTGTATAAACTCCTTTGTTAAGGTAGCAATTTAGATACTCAGAGAACATGTGCAGAGTGTCAATATACTCTTCCTTTGTGAGCTGCACAGGAGTCTTCGCCTTCGACTGATTCACACTGTTCGGCTCCTTAGTTGCTAGAATGCAGATCATGTCATTACAAATAGTGTAAGTCCTCAATAGGTCTTCTTTAGAAGTCTGATCTTGTAGTCCGTACTTGAAGAAACTCCTTAATAACTTGTACACAATCTTAACAGTGAGCTTCCTTTGACTGCTTTGCTTTGTTGAGTCCAAACTGATGTTATCCATTGAGAAGTGAGTATACAAGTTATCCCTAATATCTCCTGGGAGTGACACAAATGTGCTAACAAATTTATCAACATTTTCATCATTTGTTCCGATAATGGCCAGACACTTGAACAACTCATTCCAAATCTTTGCGTAAGAAGGAGATTTCGATGGCTTGTTGAGGGCAGACATAATGCTGTTGAATATATTAGAAACCAACTTGCTTGAGTCAGAATCATTGGAGTCAGTCCTGAAAGATGCTAAGAACAGGTCGATAGACTGACAATAATGAGATGAGAACAGCTCTGGATCTTCATCATAAATTCCTTCAAAAATAGTTCCTTTGAGGGAGCTGAACCCTTCTTTGTTATCCTTATTGAATTCTGAGAACCAAACTAGAATCTTATGAACGATATCATGAGCTTTCTTCTTGTTCAATACACTATCGAGAAGAACTTTCTCAATGAATTTAAGATTGATACTATACAGTTCAGGATCTGTTGACAAGGTTAAGATATTAAACCAGAACTTTACAGGAAGGTTTGCATCTATCAATAAGTCATCAAATGAAGCATCTTTGGAGCATTCTTTAATCAGACTGAGTAATAACTTGTAGTAGCAGGTATGCTCTCTCTGCTTCGCATTAAATCTTAGAGTACCAAGGTGCACAAGGTTTAAAAGGCAGGCAGATCTTTCGTCTTTTCCAATTTTCTGAAGTCTTTTTGAGATAATCTGTAGGGTACCTACAATGATCCACATTTTATCCTTTCCCATTCTAGGAGTAGCTTTGCATAAGGCTTTCAACTTCTCTGAAGAGTCGATGTTGGACTCATTAATCTTTGTGGCGATTCCTAGTCTTCTGAGCAGTTCGTTTAGTATCTCTGTTACCTTCATATCTTTGATGAATACTTCAACTGTCGAGAATATTCTTTTATGGTTCTGGGATTTTCTCTTCACCAATTTCTCAATCAGGTCAAAGAAGATACTATTAGCATTCTTGAGCTTTCTTAGTATAATACTGCTAATCTTTTGAGCAGATTTAAGGCTAATTACCTTGCTAACCTTCTCTTTGGGCAGCAAGAACCACTCAAGGATGTTCTTGAGGAGTTCATACTGCTCCTGCTCAGATAGATGTTCAATACCAAAGTCAGACCCATCCTTATTCATCTCATCTGAGGCAAGGTAATTCATTACTTCAGAAGAGAGGATTAAGACTTCAGGAAGAGTCATGTTATTGAACTTTGCTTGCTTATTTCTTGCCTTAGTCTTGATATTCTTGATATCTGAAGTTAATGCCTTTGCTTTTTCGTATTCCTTAGTCTGGATTAGTTTAATTTGCTCCTTCCTCTTCTCAAGTAGGGACTTCTGTGAGAGCTCAGGCTCCTCAAGAGTCTTTAGGATTTTCTTTGTAAATACTCTTTCTTTGAAGAAAGCAGTTTCCTTTTCATAGCATACAAAATCTAGGTCACCGAAAGTAAGAATTTCTTCAAGTTTGTTGGAATTTTGCTTGACAACAGATTTGCTCTTCTCATATTCAGAATTAGTGACAGTATTCACTCCAGTGTCTTTACCATAATATAATGGAATTATTGCGTTTAATGGATCTCTTTCAGCACTTTGCTTAGAGAAATTGATCGGAATATGGTCAATTTTGATCCTATAATAACTAGCAACAGTATCAATATCTTTCAAATTGATTATAATAGAGTCTGGTTGCTCATCAGGCTCTCTCTTCCTAGTTCAGAGTTGGTATACATCATCTCCATAATGTTTTGTGTAGACTAGCTTTTCATTGTTGTGTTCATCAACTTCAAACACAGAGATGTCTAGCTGATATAGCAGATCCTGACATTCCTCATCAAAGAGCAGCTTAATGCTATCAATTGAGTGGCTATTTGTGAATGCAGTAGTGAGCTCATAGTGCTTCTTAGACCTCCTTAGTAAAACATTTGAGGTGATGTGTCTCTCCGTCGGTGCATGAAAGTTTCCAAAGAAACTCACATAATCATCTGAATTTTCAAGTTCTGGCAATGCCTTCTGGAAAATGAATTTGGATAGCAATTCGTAGTTCTTTTGGAATGCCTCCTTGCTGCACTCCTTGTTCAATAGGTAGACCATTCTGATAGTATTAATGTCAAAGTTAGGAACTCCCTTGTCTTGAATACTCTCGATGATGTTTTTGGTGTAATCAAAGAAAGACCTATCCTCTGAATCTTGGGAGCTCAGCCCTATCTTATTAACTGTTTTTAAGATAGTTGTCTTGAATTCATCAGAAAATGTGAATAGGTCAGGATCTTCAAGGTAAAGCTTATAGTCAAAGTGTTCCTTAAGAACTTCAGTTATAATTGGAGAGGTGAGGCTATTCAGATGGCTTAAAAGTCAAGTCCTAATATGCTCAAGCTCCTCCTTGTTGTTTATAATATCTAGCAATTTCCTTGCATGCTCCTTCAGAAGTTGTGGATCATAATAGATCTTTTGAATAGAGTCTTGACTAATCCTCTTCATACCTTTAGATTTGAATTCGATTTCTGATGGATAAGAGTATAGAACAAGGTGGCCTTCCATAAACTTCCAGAAGGATTCTTCTGCATGTGAGTTAGTATCTAGAACTACTCGGATTCCTTTAATTCCCTCTTTGACAACTGATAAATCAATTGAATCAGAATATGAACAAGTAACGCTAGATTTAATCCTGTCTAAAAGAGAGATGCAGTATCTCTTAGAATTAGATTCTATGTGAGTGACTTGGATTTTATCAATGGAAATCAGCTTAGACCAATTGCCACCTTTATTTACCTCAATATCTGCCTTAACAAGGGTATCAAGCCTTTTGTCATTAATCTGGAGGTCATAAGCATCTTGGTTCAAGGCTTTAATACCAGTAGCAACCCTTCCTACAACTTTGAAACTTTCTATTTCACAACTGTGTGAATAGAACTTTCTAGTAAACTTGATCGGTTTCTTTCTGAAATCAGTGGGAAGAAGTAGGATATACTTGCTTAGTCTCTTCTGGTCAAAATTGACTGTGACTTCTCTCTCACTTCCCAGTTCAAAGAAGGCAACTGGCTCGTTCTCTCCAAGAGGGAGATTAACCTTTGCTCTGTTCTCTTGCCATCTCTCGTACTGAGCTCTGGTTTGGATAGTAAGATATTTCTTCACATTAGTAAATTGCTCCACAGAGTTTGCACAGAAGATAAGTCCTGCGCCAACAGGGTAAGAATCTGAGGAAGCCTTCGCACGGTGGAATTTGCTAGACACTGTGAATTGCATTGGAAGAAACTCAGAGTCCTGACTCTGGCTAAAGATAACAGTTGGCTTAGGATAATTTGAAATATATGACTGAGTGCTATAGTCATCATCTAACAATCTTGATGGGTGGAAAGTTGGATTAATACAGTTTCCTGTGAAAGATTCAATCTTAAGACTTAAGTTCGCTTGGTCACTGTATGTCATATTTGATTGTTTAGATTTGTATTCAACATCTTTCTGAGTATCAATATTCTCATCAGCAAAGTTCTCTTTAGTGTTAAAGTAAAGATTCACATCAATTTTATCGAAGTTCTTAGTTGGCTTCAAGAACTTTTCTTCAAATACAACATTGCTATCTTCAATAGTAGAATGAGTAATTATCGAAGTTGGTTTGCTTGAGAAAAGTTGATTTAGCTCTTTTACATCACAGTCTCCTTCTTTCAGCAGCTCAGCAGTTAGGTCTTGTTGTTCTTCAATAACTTTTTGTTCATCCTTAATCTCTTCCTTTTTGACATCTTTCTTCTCTTCCTCAACTTGAGGCTCAAATTCGATAAGGTCAAGCATTGAGAATATCACTTCATTGGTCTGATTATCAAGGATGGATTGCTTCTTTTCATCAAGTTTTTGTGAATTATAGACGACCATTGTGGAGTCACTCACAATAGCAACCTTATTGTCCTTATAATACATCTTATAAGTTTCCTCGACAGAGAGGTCAGTCTCAGTTGTACTTCCGATATTGACTACAAAGTCTCCTTCTCCAGAGATATGGTTTTCGATCTTTATAAGAACAACTTTAGAGTCATTGTTCTCAGCAAGGGCATAGACTGAGAAATCATTGGATAATCCATGAATAGAGTTAGACGTGCACAGAATCCTCTTAATATTCTCCAACTCTATTTTTCTACCTAAGGTCCAGATAATAGGCGAGGTTTTATTTCTACCTCCTTGGTTGTAGAAGGGATCGATGTGGACAATATTGCTCCTCTGCTTGGTAATAATTTCAGAAGTAATATCCTCCTGAATCTTCTTCTTGCTCATTGTAGAAATTGCATACTTTGAGTAATCAACGTTATGTAAGTAACTTACTGCAAAGTCAACAATAAGGTTCTTCGACTGGACATACAGTTTTCCTTTATCTTCAAAAATAACAGTCACGATTCCTTGGAATTCAGAAGTCAAATATTTTTCAGAAACATGGATTGTATAGCTAATGATTTTAGAGGATTGCTCTTCAACCTTTTCTTCGCATTCGGTCTCCTTTTTGGTCTCTTCTTTGTTCTCAGAGTCTTCTTCAGCTGCTTCATCAACTTCAGGGATTTCTTGATCTTCATCAAATTCTTCATAATATTCATCATTATCACCGAAGAGAGCAGCCATCGTGGTTGGATAAGACTCTTCATCATAATTAACTTTCTTTGGAGAAGTCTTAATAGTAATACTACAATTCTTCTTAGGCTTAGACTTGCTAGAGGGGTCTCCACCTGAAGGAGGATCCCTATTTTCTTTGATGAGATTCAGCTTATTGTTATTGCTCACTCCAAGTCTTGCCCTTGCATTATTAACTTCGTAAGTGATTAAGCTAGAGGCGTATTTCTTGTTTTCTACAGAGCCAGTGATCTCTTTTTCCTCTTCACCGAAGTTAATCTCAGCTACTTTGGTGATCCCAAGTCCTGTTGTGTAGACTGTTAGTGATCCAGTCTTGGAAAAGGTGAAGATAAAATCTGAGACAGGGGAAACAATTATTTGGGTATCCTCACCAAGTAATGTTGGAGGAAGGTAGCTCAGAGACTCTTCTAGTGGAATATTAATGTTCCTCTTCAGTGTTAGAGTGTCTTTTAACAAGTCATTACACTTTTGAGAGATCTCAGAGATTTCTCTTTCATCAAATACGTTGTAGAATACCTTATCTTCTCTATTAATATAACCATATTTGGCCAATTTTTGGAAGCATTGTTCAGTTCCAATGAAAGTGGATAATCTTTCAAGATGGCTGAAAGGTCTTGAGACTGAAGCCATCATGCTATTCAACTCTTTACTAGCATAAGGGGACAGAGTTCCGCACCAAAGTTGCTCACTCAGTTTAGTAAGGATCTTTAGGCCACAATCCTGATAAATATCTAAAGCTTCCTTATCTGATTCTAAAGAAGGAATTCTAGAATGAGGGTCATTCACTCCAATGACTTCGAGATTTAAGAATTTTCTAGATCTTTTGACTCTTTCTTTTGAGGCATCATACATCATTTCGTTCAAGAAAATGTTAGCTTCTTTAGCAGGAGAAGAGAATTGCACTATATCTCCTTTCCTTATTTTAGCAGTCTCTTCCATAGACTTAAAGAATGAAAAATATATTTGTTTTAATCCTGGATGCAAGTTTTCAAACTGCTTTGCACCAAGATTAGAGAATAAAGTAGTAAACTCTTCTTTAGAAAGAGTGAAAACTTGGTGATCTTGAGGGGTTCTCAATCCATCTTGCAAATTAATAGGACTATTCTTGTCTTTATTAATTAGCTTGGCCTTTCCATCAGATGTAACAACGAGGAGCTTGCTCTGATCTCTCACTGGGTATACAGATAATCCTTCTAGATGTGTCTCTTGTATAGAGTTTTCTTCGATCAATGTATTCATTTTAGAAATGAATTTAGAGTAAGCTTCTTTAACATTCTCTTCAGTAGCATCATCAGAGTCTTGGTTACAGATATCATTAATATAGTCGATCATCTGTAAGGTCTCTCCTTTAGCGCTTTCTCTTACAGAAGTATTGATCGCATACTCGATCAAATCGTCAGTACTATGGGTGGCTATTTTCTTATTCTCAGCAGTAACTTTCTTTTTCTCCCATTTTGAGTAGGCATCAGCAGAAGTAAGAGTCACCACTGCCCATCCTTTAAGGTATTGGAAGTGGGATGAATCCTTTGGAAGATATATACTCTTAATGTCTGATTCAGGTAGGTCCATGAATTTGCTTAGGAATGCTGAGTCGCTATTGACTCCAAATCCTCTTGGCAGATGACTCAGACCTAAGGCGTTATCTAACTTTTGCTTCAGATATTGTCTCTTTTCAAATTTTGAGCCCTAGATAAAATTATTTCTGATGAAATCCTAATATCTTTCTCCACAATTTTTAGAAATAGTAATTCATCAAGTTGGATGATTGTAGAAGAGAAAAAGAAATAAAGGTCTAACTTACCATCACCTTCTGGAAATCTTGAATTCTTGGGTAAGGGTTCAAAACCACTGGGATATTTGGCTTAGGGGTTGTCACAAATGGGACAAAAGGACCCTCACTGTTCAAGTAGAGTGTCTTGTCAGTTGAAGGATCCTTGTTCAGTCTCATGCTAACAGTCTTCTTCTCTACATTCAGTGTGACTGCAGCAAATCTTGGAGTTGTTGTTTTAAATTTCTTCACATAAGGCCTGAGAGTCTTCGAGGACTTTACTCCAAACTCTACACTATTAATTCCTGTTGGGAAAATCAACTCCCAAGTATGTTGGCCTGAAGAGAACTCTGTGTTTCCTTGAAGATTAAATCCTCCCTCAGTATCTTCGAATTTAAGGTCTAAATGTATTAAGACAAGCGTCTTACTATTTGGAGATAGAGCATAATAGAGCTCTTCAGTTTCCATAAATCTGAATCCTATTTGAGCTGGAGTGGTTCCAACATCTTTGTTCTTAGAACTATCTGTTACATTTGCTTCATTTACTATATAGAATATCATTAGGAGTGGGCTCATGTTGGGAAGAAATCCGACCAAAATTGATCTTATAGGCATCTGGATATTTTATTTTCATCTCAGTGAAATATCCATGCAAATGAATTGCTTAAGCTTAAGAAGGATAAAGTTATGTACCTATGATTCCTATATCTTGTAACACCTGTGCATCTAGTGTCCTAGCATCACCATAGGTGTTCATTATCTTAGATTCTCCTGGCTTAACAGTTGTGTTAGATTCCATATCTAATTTATTTTTATGAATGCTAATTAAATTCTCTTGCTTTTATCACAAAACCTGCCTATAATTTTCAACCAAATTTGATAAGAGTGGGGTTTTGGGGTTTTGGGGTTTTGGGGTTTTGGGG